GATCTTATATGTTTGAATCGGGTGTTCATTCTGAAGGAGGCCCTGACGCCGATGTGGCCAAAAGTTTTTTGACGTTGATGGATTTGATTGAACTGTTGCATATGTCAATGAGAGATGCCGTGGACGCTGGTCGGTTGGAAACTTTGACCCAAACATATTTGAAGAGGTTTGTGAAGGCCCATGGGCACGAACCTGTCGCCCCCAAGCATCACCTGATGCTTCATTTGGGGAAGTGCCTGAGGGATCAGAAATTTATCCTCAGCTGCTTTTGCCACGAGAGACGGCGCAAGGAGATAAAGAGGTATGGAGACAATTTACACAATACTGGGCCATGGTTTGACAGAAAAATTTTGGAGGAACTTCGGCAGCAACGGTATGTCACATGTTTTTATTGACGCTTACATCTATCTATATATATATATATGTATGTCCTTGTGGTGTTCCACATTGTTGATTTGGTTTGTTTTATGACCATTGGTTGGCTTACGTGTTCTTTGGGGTTCCACACGAACCATGTTGCGTCCAGCACAGGAGATCACGCTATCGCAGCTGCAGAAGCTCCAAGCTCTTGACCCTTTACAAGACACCGTGTGCTACTTGGAGCCACCTCTGCGAGCGGCTCCTGCAAATGCGGGTTTTGAGTCCACATCGAGAACTGCAGTTCTTATTTCCGGTGCATATTGCATGGCTGGAGACGTGGTCTTGTTCGAGGATCCTACGGATGGTCAAGTCAACTTTGGCAAAGTTGAGATGCACGCTTTGCAAAATGGTAAAGCTTTCACATGCGTGTCGGTGTGGCCAGTGTCAGGGGTGAATGAACTGCGTCCTGACAAGAGTCAGAAGTGGTATCCAACAACATGCGTGAATGGCTGCCTCATTTGGCACACTTTGCCAAACGGAGTCGTAAAGATTGCGCCTCAAAAATTCTAACGGAAATCTTCGACATGTTTGCTGGAAGGAATTGCTCCTGCGCAGGATTGAAGTTGTTTGCTTTGTTTCACGCAATCCTCGACCTGTTTGCTGAAAGGAGTTGCCACTGAGGGGGGCGCCGCACAGGGGACGCATCATACAGCTCAGACATGTTCAGACATGTTTACGTTTATTTTGTTTTTCTGTTTCATTCCTCGACGCTGTCAGTGGGAGTTGCTCCCGGTACCTGAAAGGAATGAAACTTTGGTGGTTTTAATCCCTGCAGGCGCCCCTCCGTGTGAACTTCTCAGTACGATCCAGGACGTGTTAAATGTGCGGGCGCGACTTGTGGAATTAGTATATAGCTCTTCTCACAGCAAAAGGGAGGGAACCAGACGGCTGAAGAGGAACCAAACCTGAGGGATGCAGGGGGCTGAAGACACCAGAGGGCTGATTGTTTTGATCCGGAGCCCGAGTGCATTATATATATACACATACTGTATATATATACATACTGTATATATACATACTGTATATACATACTGTACCACACCTGTATATCCAACCATACGATTACTGTATATACATACTGTATATACATACTGTACCACACCTGTATATCCAACCATACGATGGAATGGCACGAAGCGTTCAGGCCTCCAACGACGACATGGAGTTCACGGGTTCTATTTGCCGATCCTGTACAGCCTGCACTTTTTTTTCAGGCGCTCGGGATTCGGGATACAGCGGCAATGTATATATATATAGAACACTTGCGTGGAACCAGGCAATTGACTTGGTAGGATGGAATGCCTATATGGTTTGGGTGATCTTTCTTGCCATATACCCTTCAGGGTATATACCGTTCCAACCTGCTCATCCATTATAGTTCCATCCCACCGAGCACACCCCGCGTCGTTCCGCTAGAGCGCACTCGGATATAGCCTGGCACTGCCAGGCTATATCCAACGCAGACATGACGGAGACAGGTGTTTGGACATTTGCGGAGGCCGGCGACCGGGAAATTCATCTATGCCAGATTCTTCTACGCAGATGTGACCTATAGTAGACACATATTTCGTTTATATGTTTGTTCGTTTGTGTTTCTTTTTTTGTGAGTGCGTTCATGTCATTGAAACCCTTGCGAGACATAATTGTGTGGTTCCTCAATTAAACATCGAAACGTATACATAGCACTTCATTAATTGAAACGTTTGTCAGGAGAGGGTCCATGATTATATAGGCTTCTTTTTGGTCGCAAGAACCACGTTTTTTGGCCGCGCCAGGATTCTAATGCTCATTTTTGGGATCACTGTTCTTAATAGTTTTTATATATAGGATGTTCCTTGCTGTTGGATATATAGTAGTTCTAGAATTTCAGATATACGCAACAAACCGCAAACGCCAAGCCCTGCCAACCAGTTTGCAGGGATTTGTTTCATCCGTTGTTCCATCCCACCGAGCCGAGCACTTGCCAGGAATGACGAGTCTGATGACGCAGCAGAGAGAATGAAAAAAAAGGTGCGGCGACCGGGAGAATCACCCATGCCAGATTCTTCTACGCAAGTGTGACCTGTTTATGTGTTTTTTCGTTTGTGTTTATGTGTCATTGAGACCCTTGCGAGACACGTGTTCTAATTGTGTGGTATAATGCAACAGTGTTTCCTTGCACCGGCTCGCTGACACAGGTTATATAACAGGCAGTATAGGTGGATTCAGGGCATGGCAGATTGACATCGATTGGTTTGTTGTATCGTTGTGTTTTATCTTGAACGCTCTAAAGTTTGATTATCTAACATCCGGAAGTGATTTTGCCATGTATATCAATGCTGAACTGCGTCAGTGTTCAGTTAATTTCATCTGACAGTTTTACAATGCCCAGGCCAAATCCAACTCACGGGATGCGGATATATGATGTCATTTCACTCAGTACTCCATAGCTCAAATCCAATTCCAACGTCGTATACTATAGACTGTGGAATTGGTTGCGTGGATTATAGCCTTCTGTTTGGGTATTCGACGTGGCGTCATACTTTGCAAGAACCACATTTTGTGGTTGCGCATGGTGGCACATAAGCGCGCAGAGTTTAATATCATTATTTTTTAAAGATCACTCTTCCTAATGTGGTTCCACTGTATATGTACGTTGTGTTAAAACTTTAATTCTTACTAGAATTTTTTCTATATGTAGGACGTTCTTTTGGATCATTATTACTAACATTGTTTTCTATACGTAAGATGTGTTTTATTTTTGAATACAAACTGTATATGCACCATGTAGTTTTTTGGAATCACTCTTCCTAACATGTTTCTGTATGTGTTACTTTTTGAGTTACTCTTCCTCATATGGTTTTAATGTATATATTGTGCGATGTGTTTTTGTTTGTGATCACTCTTCCTGACTGTTTTTCTATATGTATTGGTTGGATCACTCTATATATGTTTTCGAAAAGGATATAGAACTTCCAATGGTTGTTTGTCATGCTCATGGAAGGGTCAAAAAAGCCTTGAATATATACCCAAAACGCCACTGCAACCGTTGCGTTGCGGGTATATATTAAACATACTCAACGGCCGAAAATATATTTGTGTTCCGCTTTTTGTAGCTCTCACAATGTGTTTTTTTGTGTTTTTTGATTTATGGTTATCGCAAACCAATATGTTTATCTTAGTTTTCGTTCAACTATTGTTATGTTTTTTGTTTTTTTAGATACAGTATCAGCACTTTTGGCGCGTCATAAGTCCAACTTGTCGAACTTAGCCAAGTGATTTTTTTTGAACATGTTCTACTTAGTTGCGTTTAGCTATGTTGGACTAAGTTTGAACATAGGCCACTTGGCTAAGTCCAACTAAGTTCAACACTAAGTTCAACACTAAGTCCGACTAAGTTCGACTTAGTATGTAGGCTATGTTGGTTAGTAAGTGCACTTATAAGCTGGACAACCAGGCTATCTACTTATAACCCCAACCGCACATCCAAGTAGGCATTGTCGACTTGGCACCACCTGATGAAGAAGGTCCTGAGCCGCGCGGCCAGTTTTGGATCCACAACACCACAACAAGAGTAAGATAGTGCATCGCAAGATTGACGCAACCGTAGGCCACTTCCTTTGTGGGACTAAGCAGAGCGCCCACCGCGTCCCAATTTCCGATGAACAGCGTCAAATTTGGCTGAGCTGCGCGAGATGCTTTCGTGAGCAGCGCATTGAAGCGTAAAAATTGTCCATCAGCACGAACAGCATGAACCGATAGCGCAGCTTGGGACATTCCTGAACCTGAGTTCATTGCGTTGCTCAAGCTCACAGCAGGGACGCGCAACTCTGATCCTTTGGTTCGATGGCGGCCGTTCCAAACTCAGTGACTCACTTATGGTGACTTGGGCCGAGGGCGAGTCGATCGAGGCGCGCTGGACACAGATATGTCTCGAAAAGCTGGAGTTAGCGGCCGAGACCGTTCGCTTGATCTTCTTCATTCTCGGTGACGATGCAGCCTTGGGCCCTTTGAGCTACTTGTACGTCTTGATCCGCCGAGCTCGTGTCCAAATCATCTCGAATGGTGAGTGTACCGGCGAGGACATCACAGTCCAGAGCCTCGGGCACCTTGGGCTAGCACGCCCCTGGGCAGCTCTGCGGGAGTACCAGGAGAATGCCCACCTACGGTCAAGCATCGCCTCAACCCGAGATACAATTCAAGAACTTCAAATGATGGTCTCAGATGAGGACCCTGTCCATGCCTTTTTCGGACCACCTTTGGACCTACGGTGGCCCCGGGGCCGTAGTCCTAACTTTCCTAAGGGACTGTTTGATAATCAGCCCAAGCAAGCCCCAGCACCACATAAGTCTTGCCCAGGATTGTCGAACGTATAAGTGTGTGAGCAAAATGAGAAATTGGAACCCAGTTGCATTGCCCAGACGCACACTCGGAATTGATCGTGCAGTTTATGTCTAAAGAACCTGTCAATCAATCGGTAAACATAACGTCAGCCCATGAATTACACACCTTGTCAGTGGCTCATCAGCACCGGGCTGACTTTGTAGAGCATACCTAGAGCCGCCATGACATCGTTGATCGATTCTCAAGCGGCTTTCAAGGCACGAGCTAAGGAGCTCAACGTGCAGGCAGATGTGATGCAGGGTTTGGAAGGCAATGGGTTCGGCGCCCTCAGCACGCTTGCCTTCTGTTGCCAGAGCTCGCCTGGTCAGAACATCACCGATGATCAGTTGCAGGATTTTCTCAATAACCTTGGTTTGACCCGGGTGCCCTTGGCCCAGCTTGCCATTTTGAAGCGGCTCATTTTTGAGGCCCACACTTTGATCATTCACAGCTTGAAGGACAAGGTTGAGGCAACAGACCAGGCACCAGTGCGAAAGCTCAATGCTGCTGAGCAAGACGATCGTATTACCAAGCAAGCGGCCCGTTTGGCTGGTGTTCGCATGAAGGGTGAATTGGAAGTGGCACACTGCGTGATCGACGCTGTCAATCATCAGCTTGAGCAGCGCCAGCTCAAGTATCTTGCTCCTCACAAACGCATTAAACGGGAGACTGAGCTGACCGGCTCGAAACCGCAGCAGCGGATCTTCTTGGACAACGGTTCATTGGCAGTCAAGGACCAGGAACTGCACCTCACCTGTGATGCAAGCACCGAGCTTCAGGCTTTCCACGCCCTTCAGATGCGTGCCCTGGCCTACGATGCCTGCAACAGGCTGACGTATGATGTGTCCATGGAGTGGATCCACTATCTGTTCGAGCACCTCCACCGTGACAGTGCCCCAGGCTACAAGCCTGATCTCACTGCCATCCTTCGCGCTGATCGTCAGGCGTGGATCGTTATGGCCGAACAATGTCATGACTTTGGCCTCCAGGCGGACGGAAGCCTGCCATTGGACCAACTGCTCAGCTCGCTGAAGACTCATCCAGACGTCGCTTTCAATTTGCTGCCTCGGCCCAACATGCGCACCGTTAGCGGCGCCAGTGTTGACACCAAAGAGAAGGAGAAAGACTCGCCTTCTCCTTCCGGTCACAAAGGCAAGGGCAAGTCCAAAGGCAAGTCCAAAGGCAAGGGCAAGACCCGTCGCACACCCATGCCGAGTGCCCTACAAGGTCAATGGAGCGCCACATCGACTCGTCAGCCGATTTGCTTGATTACAACCTCAGCCACGGATGCACCAAAGCCCCAGCAGGTGGAAAGTGCCCCAAAGGGGTTCATGTGTGCAGTCAACCCAAATGTGGGCAGAAGCACTCTTCCCAGGATCATCCCAGCTCAGAGTGACTATCTGCACCCTCCCTTGCAGGGGCGCCCATTTCGGAATTTTTCGCAATTGAGCTTTTTGCAGGCAGCGCAGGGCTCACTGCCAGTCTTCGCGCACTCGGTTTGCGCCAGAGTTTTGGAGTTGATCATCACATTCCCAAAGCCGTTTGCGGCCCAGTTTTGACCCTCGACCTCACTGTCCAGGCGAATGTTGACATTTTGTTTGAATGGCTGAGATCACCTATGCTGGTTTACGTTCACATGGGCCCGCCTTGTGGCACGGCCTCCCGCGCCCGGGAGATTCGCGCGAGTAGAAGTTCACATGGCCCTCCGCCGCTGCGGTCCACGCAATTTCCTGAGGGCCTACCACGCTTGACCGGCCCCAACAAGACTCGTGTCGATCAGGCTAATCGCCTAATCGCCTTTATGCCTTGGTGGCCTTGGTTTGGCGCTTGTGCCATGAACGCGGCATCATGGTCACCGTGGAAAATCCCACACGTTCCTTGTTTCGGCGCACAAGCTTTTGGGCAGCCCTTCACGATGACATTGATTTGCCCATCCATTACACAGATTTCCAAGCCTGTGCTTATGGTGGACATCGGCCTAGATGGACTCGGTTCGCGGCCAATTTTCCTGAAATTGCAGCACTGTGCAAGCAATGTGATGGGCAACATGGCCACTTACCTTGGGGCTTGGTCTACACAGCTTCAGGCACTGCCTTTTCGACTGCAATGGAGGCTGCCTACCCTCGTGGCTTGTGTGATGCCATCGCCAACATCATCGCTGATCGCTTGTTCAGCGTTGGAGTAGTCCCTGTGGCCCACAGTTTTGACGGACCTGACCTCTCCATGAATGCCCAGGCCCGGGCTGCCGCTGGCCATCCCCTGAAAGCCAGCAAACTCCCTTTGTGGGTCCCTGAGTACAAATCCATGTTCACCCTTGACGTTCCAGCGCACGTTCAGGAACCTCAATCTCGACACCTTGTCGATGCATCCTTGGCTGCCGCTCTCACCACATTCTCTGGTGAGCGCATCCCGGACCACACCATTTTCCTAGCGGCCACTCCGCTTGTTAGTGGGGAATTGGGAAGCAAGAGTGGCACGAGCATCAAAGACAATGAAGGTCGAAACGAGAATGTTGATGAAATTAATTGACCAAATCAACTCACATCCACCCACATTCAAGAGGTGGAAGTTGGCGGTGAAGTGGCAACCCGACGAGTTCGTGAAAGAAGCCTGCAAGCTAGGTCACCCCTTTGGATCGAAAGCCTTGCTGCCCGACGAAATTCGCAACGTGATTGACGACCACTTCGACAGGGAGTGGCAAGACATCGCTGAAGGCAGAATCGGGTGGTGTCGCAAGTGGACCAAAGACCTCTTGGATCTTCAAAAAGATGAGCGGGCACTTCACACGGCTTGCCACCCCGATGTCAAGGATATAATCCAAGGGAAACGTCTGCTACTGTGGCAGCGCATGCTTCTGGATGTTGGGTATGTGGACGCGGATCTCCCGCTACAGTTCCTCAAGGGCTTTGACATTGTAGGAGAGGCGCCGGCGTGCGGCGCTTTCCCCCGAGCCTTTGTTCCTGCCCTGATGTCGATGGATGGGCTCACGGCCCTTGCTGGCTCCCAGTTGAGATCCACCCTGCAGAACATCAAGTCTTCGGGCGACCCGGTGATTGACGCAGGGGTTTGGGCCAAAACGGCTGAGGAGACTAAGAAGGGTTGGCTTGTTGGGCCGCTGTCATTTGAGGAGGTCGGTTCATTGCATGATTGCACATTGACCCGGAGGTTCGGTGTCGTTCAAGGAACCGATGATTGTGGCGACCCCAAGGTCAGGCCAATCGATGACTTTACGGCTTCGCTAGTGAACAAAGCCGTGACCACCAACGAGAAGGCTCAGGTGCACACATTGGATGTGATGTCTGCCGCTTTGTCAACATGGATGAAGCTCTCATCGCAGACACAAGGCGGTTGTTGCCGCTTGGTGGGGAAGACTTATGATCTCACATCGGCTTATCGCCAGTTGCCGCTGAGTCCGGAGATGGAGCGTTTCAGCCACATTGCTGCTTGGTGCCCCGAATCCGGTTGCGCCGAGACCTTTCGCTTGAAGTGTTTGCCTTTCGGAGCTACCGCCTCTGTATACCACTTTCTTAGGTGTTCAGCAGCACTGTGGTACATCGCCTGTGTTGGGGGGAGCCTCTTGGTGACGAGTTATTTTGATGACTTTCTGTTGGCCTCTCCAGAGGAACTCAAGACGTCCTCGGCGAACTTTTTAGAGTTCATCCTGCTGGCCACCGGCTGGACGTTCGCACGCGATGGCGACAAAGCCACGGACATGTCATGCACCATCCAAGCCCTTGGGGCTCTGATTTGCTTGGAGGGTGTCCCCAGGGGGATTGTCGAGATCAAAAACACTGAGTCTCGGATTTCAGAGTTGGTGAGCAGCATCGGTCAATGCCTCGAAGCATCGAGACTGGACAGAGGGGCAGCTGAGAAGCTGCGTGGCCGGCTGGGGTTCGCAGAGAACCATGTCTTTGGACGCACCGGCGTGTTGGCCCTGAAGGCATTGACACAGCGCATACATGCTCCCAAGTTCGTGTCAGAGTTGTCATTCTCTGTGTCCCTCGCCCTCCAACGCTATCAAGAGAAGCTGCAGGAACCAAGGGGCCGATTGATTGCGCAGCATTCTGTTTGCCCATGCTTTGTGTTCACTGATGCTTTCTTCGAGCCCCCTGAGGTGCCGAAACCCCCAAAGGCTGGCGTCGGAGGAATTTTGTTCAATGAGAATGCAGAGCTGATGTCATGGTTCTCCTGGCAGTTGCCTTCATCGACGCTGGTCGACTTCATCGATGTCGGTGCAAAGACCCTGATCTTTGAACTCGAGTTTCTCGCGGTAGCGGCTCAACGACTCTCTACTCACCTTGCTGCTGTAAAGGCCTGACTCCCATCTCCCACGAGAAAAAACACATGATTTGGTGGCGAAATTTAGCAGCCAACTGTCACCATATGTGCATAAGAGTCTTGAGCCAGAGCGCAGATAAGACTCAAGATGTGACAAACAGAACCCGATTAATTAACTAATTGTTGATCAGTGAATCAGTGTCAGCATTATCCTGCCTGCCTTAGAAACAAGAAAGTTCAGTTCAACGGCAAGTGTGTCAGGCTGTTTATGCAAGATATGCCACGAGACTGGGCGGCGAGCATATCCTCAAATGAGAAGAGAACAGCTTGCGATACAGCTCAAGAACGATCCATCGATTCAGGAGGAGTTCGCTGAAAGTCACTTGATTGTGATTGGTTTTTGGTCTCCTGCTGGCGATTGAATGCTGGCGCAGCCATTTGTGCGAGAGACCGGTTGTTTTCTTTGTGGACAACAATGGTGTCCGGGATTCATTGTTGAGTGCTCGCACCAAGAGTGATCAAGGCCAGATCGTCCTCGAAGCTATTCAGCTATTCTCCGCTTGGAAGAAAGCATGAGCCTGATGGCATGGTTCGCAAGAGTTCCGACTTGCGCCAACCCGGCGGATGCACCTTCTCGAGGCGAGGTGGCCCATCTCGATGGAGCTGTCAGATTGCCAGATGATGTCGTTTGTGACTGCGCAAGTCGCTTGATGACGGCCATGCTCGAACGAGCGAAGGCGCCCGTGCCTGTGAAAGGGGGAAAGAGGACGGCCTCGTGAGATTCCCCAATGTTGTCTGAGAAAAAGGAGCGAATGAGCTTGCTCAAACGAAACGACAAAGGTGTCAGTTTCATAGTGCTTTGAATCATGTCTTGCACAATGAATGTACTGTTTGCGTGTGCCTTTTGCCTCGATCATTCAAAGCAAAATAAAAGAATGTCGCTTAAACTGATAGGCGCTTCGCACGAATAGCCTACATAAAATGTAAGTCAGCTCGCTGATGCATTATTATTGCAGCGTCAGCCTTTTGCAAAATTTCTTGATGGAAAATTACATCATAACATTTGCTAACAGTGACATAGGCTTATAACAGACAACCTGAGCCATTAAAGATTTGTTGCAGCCTTTGTCCTGCCGTTCGAGCATATGATCGATCGAACAACCGCTTACAGGCTCAGACATCAATTGCGTGTTCATGTGATTGCACCATGACAATGAGAACATGCGCTTGCAAGATGTTGGCATTAACCCTGTGACATGTGCTTTTTCTTTGCCCGCCCTCCACTCCCTGTGGAGGCCACTTCGTGTCCTCGATGCACTTTGTATGCCGGACGCCCCATGCGTCCTTCATTGCGTCGATGCTGCCTGCCTCGACTTGTTCGTTCCCTCCTGCCTAACCCAGCCGTCAAGAGGACGGCCTCGTGAGATTCCCCAATGTTGTCTGAGAAAAAGGAGCGAATGAGCTTGC